GCTTACTGATGACAAGATCTGCACAATAGAATTCGAACTACGTGACATTAATCGCCTTATTTCATCCACAACTATTTTGGTATGATGGACCTGACAATTTACCGCCGACCTTGGTAAAAACAAAAGCCTCGATATCCCCATACTACTTCTGAACCAATTTTATTCAGGAAAGTCGGTATTATACCAGCACAGTGGAAGAACGCCGTAGTTACGACTCGTTACAAATCAGGCTCTGTGCACAAAACGAGAAACTACCGTCCAATAAACCATACTTTCATCCTCTATAAGATGATGTAACGTCACATAAAGTCCAAAACTGTTGATGTTTTTATGACGTGTAATCTTATCAACACCTCGCAACACGGCTTCCTAAGCTCGCAGTCTTATATAACATGTCAGATCGACCTTCCGATTAGTTTGTTTGATTGCGATTCATCAGCTATGGTCGTTTACCTTGACAATGAAGCCATTTGATCGAGTTCCGCATGCTGCTCTTATCCAACTTAACTGCATATGGCATACGCAACTCTCTGCTGTCGTGGTTCGATTCGTACGGCGAACAGAACCCAGGTTGTCCAGGTCCAAAGTGTAACAAGCCCGCTAAAGCCAGTCACTAGTGGCGTGGTACAAGGCGGTGTCCTGGACCCTTTATTATTCCTAATGTATTTGAGTAACGTTTCTGACGTCTTTATCTTTGGTAAACCTTTTCCACTAGCCGATGATATAAAGATTGCATACATGTTTAACCCCAATGATGTCAGTGATAGTGTAAGTGTAATCCAAGTGGAAGTGCCTACGCTTGATACATGGTGTTCTAACTGGAAAACGTCATTCTCCGTTGACAAATGCCACGCAGTAACCTACACTTACTATTGAAGCTAAGCCCCTGTCTCAATGCCATACCATCCGTGACCTAGGGCTGCACTACTCGAACACCCTAAACTTCGCTGAGCGCGCCGGACGTACTGCAGCTCACGGTCGTCGGAGCATCGGGCTTCTGTTTAAAACATTTACCCTAAAAGAATCCATTAACGCCCTTTACAAAATACAACCACATCTGTTACCACATTATGGCTCCATAATCTATTGCAATTCCACAGTGGGTGATTGTATACCATTAGAACGAGTGCAACAGCCACTTACTAAACCTCTCATGGGCTATTCTTCTACAGTGTTATATATGGATCGATGTAGTATCTTAACTTGATCCATGATGGCTGCGCCGGAAGAAACTTAACCTTTTCGTCTTTTTTGGTACCCTACCAAGAAAAATACACCCATCAAATCCGGTACTGCAACTAAAGGATCTGGTAACGCATCGCACTAGAAACAACAACAAAGTATTAGTGAAAAGAGCAAGAACTAGGCAGTCGGATAACTTTTTCCTCAACCGACACTTCGTATTATAGAGTAGGCTCTTTATTGAGATGCGTGAACTTCAGTCAGGGATACAATTTCGTAAGGCATTACCCTCATTTCTCAACGTTGAAACAGCTATTGGTATGCGGGGACCAAATTTGATATATTAATGTCCTTTTGAAACAGGAGCGGGGTAGATATGATTTAAATGCCCTGTCTCCTACTTTTCGCCAGACTCCATTGATTAAGCCAACGTTAACAGGTGAATCAGATTACTTCTTTAAATAACGCAAATTCCCCGACCAGTGTTATATCTGAGCTTACTAAGACGAAAACTTGTAGTAGTCTTTTTCTATTTTATTCCTTTGCATTTCTGCTGCTCTGCTAATTATCTTCTATTCCTTCTTGGAGGTCGTACGCGAGTGATAAGCTGGGATTTTTTCGTACTCCGCAAAATCCAGTTCGATTACAATATCTATTATTTCGATTAGCTGCAAGCAATGGAACCAGCAGAAAATCCTTCAGGAGCTTCGTTGTTTGTGAAGACTTCAAATGCACTGCCGAAAACAAATGTTTATTTATTCATTTACTTGCCCTCTTCGATTGATTGTACAAAAGGAGAAAGAAAACCGACAGACCACATCTACTTCCAGAGAAGGAGAAGTGACGGATTGAAGCTTCCAAGGTCAATAATTATACCCATGTAAGGCGAATTGCCACAAACCCACTGGCAAAAAAGGTGCTGGACTCAAAAAACGAGTCTACATGTTGACGGCCTATTAGACAGAACAGCGGCCATAAAAAAGAATCTTCATGACGAGGGCCTATTACTTACAATAGCGGCCAAAAATTCCAGTCAACATAATGACGGCTCACTTACCTTTATTCCATACTAGCACATGGCCAGATGAGGGGTGGAAGTGCGGATGAAACCTTTCGTGGGACTACGCCGCATAAAAGCAGATCCCCAGGAGACGGTTCCATTGATGGTCGTGTTGATATACTTGAACTGCTTGCTGTACCTACATCGATTCCGACGCTCTACTTTCCGCACATTTATTACTTATAACTAAGTTCTCTGGGACTTACATGATGAAAGTCAAAAGTTTTTCTCCGTCATCCAAGTATGTTGTACATAATGATCAGACAACGCATTTGGTCTGTGACTCACACCGTCGAGAAACACAATGTTTATTTAGTTAATCGGACGGGACGCAGGAATCAAAAAACAGGACAAGCATAGCTTAACGATGATATATTTTACCGCATATATTTCATCCACAGTTGAAAACACATAGGTAGCAACAAACTGCACACACACGCACAAACAGGCAAGCACCCAGTGTCGAGGGGCCTTCCTCAGCTGTACCCGCATATGGTGCATAATCCTACCCTGAACGGACCTTGGAACTATACCTTTTCGATAAAAAGATGCGACTTACGAAAACCGTTTGTTGCACCTTTCGCATTGGCTTCGCACTCGATCAGTAGCTACCGTAAAACGCAATTGTGTAAATAGACCTAACCACTACACAGATTCCTGAACAGGCTGTGGTAGAGCTCTGTGCGCTTCCTCATGTGCCGCGTACTTTCATGATGTGACGTGCTAATGTGAGACCGGGAGGATATGACCCTGCGTCAAATAAGTGCCGAGCAGGAATTGGAAGTGATCATAGCACCTGTTGATTGGATAAGCGAGAGGTCATTGTGTAAATTATTAAAGCCCTATGAACTTTCAAGTCTCCAACATTTGCGGAGACGAGCAACAATAGCCAAACGCTCCAACACGGAGTTGCAGTAATAAAGTCATCATCATAATTATACACGTTAGCTGGAAGTGTAAAACACCTCAGCTACTGTGCCGCAATACATAAAAGAAAACAAGGAAAATAAATGCAACAGTTGCATGCCAACTCAGCTACCAACAACGGATGGGCATCGTTCCGGAAAGCTATCAGCCGGCTACTAGGATACAAAAAATTATTACGTAAAATTATATTATGCCAAGAACTGAGATCCTGGTTGGAGAGGGAAGCTAAGCGGAAGGGGGAGGGAAAAGGAAACTCACAGCAGGAACGCCACTGAGGTCGGCTCCTAGCCATGTAAGCAAGTGTGTCCAACTAAACGTGTTCATCGTCTTTCGAACCCCAACCAGGGAGCCGTGAGGCGCCAATCGAAGCCAGCTCCGAAATGAGGGCCTTCATTCCTCTCGACCAAGTTATCGCTTAGCCACCTCTCCTCTTCTTCCATCCACACCCACGGCGAGCAGACAACGCACGTCGCTGGAGCCAGTGGGCTGGCATGTGTGAAATGACGGTGCTGAGCAGTTCAGTTCCTTTGGTGTAAACAAGATGTCGAACACGCTCGTTGCTCACGCGGTGTTCCCACCAGATGTGAGCCACACTGCGAAGGCACCGATGGTCGAACAAAACTAGCCTCTTTGTGTCCGCTGATCTAAGGGGCCAGGTTTCGCAACCGTACAGTAAGGTCAAAGGTACCGTTGCATTGTACACCCTACCCTTCAAGGCGAGAGTGATATCGCGCCGGCACCATAGATGGCAATGACTAGCAAAAGCACTTAGAACTTTTTCTATACGGTACGTGATGTTATTTTTGATCCCAAAGGCGCTGATACAACTTCCCTGGTAGTTGAATTTCTGAACGACTTCTAGCTGATCCCCACCAAGGGTCAGCGCAGGAGGTGATCCCTGCCAATCTTGGAGGAAAGCTTTGCACTTCGATGGTGCAAAGCAAAGCCCGAAGCGGCTGACAGCTAGTGTGAATCTGTCCACTGCAGCTTGGCACATCTGGGAGCTGTCACAGATGAGGGCTGGAGTAATAAAGAGTTGGCATTATTAGCGTGTGCGCAAAAGACCCGGACACCAGTAATTGGGAGTATGACCCTCTGTTCTAAAGCGTTAGCCCATAGTAGGTGACGCGTGCGATGAAAACAGAGACAGAAAGACTTTGGAAATGGCACAAAATCGTAAAGGAAGCGGTTTTTCTTCTCAATATCCTTGGTCCCTCGCGCTTGTTTTAGTAGAAGTTATTGTGGTGCGCTAGAAAAGGTTCCCGTGTGCGAACAAAGAAGCTATACAGTATGTGGGATGCAATTATCATACCTGGTGGGACCCCGAGTCAATGATGTTGAGATCTATCGGCGGAAGTTTGACAACAAACACTTCAGGGCCACACTAGACAGCCTGCCGTATATCTTCGCTGAGCCATATTCTTCCTGCGCTTACCGATTGACTGTCTCATTGCACATTGTTAGTCGTTGTTGTATTTGGTTTGTTGAAAATTTGAGCTGACCGACTGATCATCAAACGAGTACGTCCGGCGCTGTGGATAGGAGCCTTGGGGACCGGCCACATAGATGATCAGATGCGTTAACTGACATGGGGCAACGGTAAACACAGTTGCAGTTTTCCAAACTGTCTCCTGCACATCGCCGTTACCCCCTATCATCTCTCGATGATGCCCACTTTTCTCAGGACGACTTTCACGTCGATTTTTATATGCTCGATCAAGTTTCGTCTTCGTTTCCAGCTATTATCCTGTGCTTACTGTGGGATCACACCGTTACAAAATGGAAAGGGAATTCACCACACTACAGCACTCCGATCATTCTTAAATCAAGGATCGCTGAGTGAATAAATTGAATTGAATGGAAATGTAGAGATCCCCGGTTACAGATACGCGAGCCAAAGTGCAGAGCACTCCTAAGATGCCGCGTTATGACAGCTTATCAGCACAACAAGGAATTAACATTTGAAGATGGAATTCGACACTTCAACTTTTGATTAGCGGGGAGATGGAAAGTAACGAAGTTAACAAACACGCAAACAGCACAGGCGGATTGAAGTCGCTGCGTGAAAGGTGCGCAGTTCTAAGCGGAGTAGGTTGAGAGGAATATCGTTGTTAAGATCACGGTAAGACCAGCAACAATGGTAATGCAGGTGCATGTGGTGAGAGTGCACACGAGAGAGCTGGGTGATCGGACGAAACGCAATGAGGTAGAAGTGCAAAAACATCATAAGTTAGCTCGGGTCAAAAGTGCTCGAGGCAAGGAATCGTAGAGCGATTTCATCTGGCCTAGCGGACCAGAATGGAAATAGAGGTTAGAAAAAATGGTGAGGATGCAAAACGTCACAGCACAAAGAAATGTGTGTCTGCATAAAACACCGGTGGGAACTTAGAGGAATCGAAAATGGCCAAGCTCGTTTAAGCATTGATATAATGGGGATACGTATTAAAATGAGTAGGACTGTAACTTGTACAAAAGGCAGAAGGCGATCCATAATTTGACAGTATCAGTTGATTAGATTTGCATCCTTAGCTAGAGCGTAAAACTTGGAAGCTTGATTTCCTAATAGTTCTTTGGGAGATCCAGACTCGACGACGCGTCCTTCACTTAGGACAAGTACACTGTGTAGGTAAAAAAAAGCGAAAATAAAAGCACTGGTATCACAAAAGAACGCAACATAACTCGTCACCAAAAGGGCAGTGAAAGTCAAGTGAGGGTAATGGGCAAGAGGCATACGTGTTTGATTAAAAGTATACCTATTAAAAACTTTAATATTAGTATATAATATATTATGAAACATAATCAGATAATGGGTGCACATTGGCAGTAACGACCACGCTGACTCCAGCCGAACGTAAATGTTGCAAGAGCGCCTAGATCGAAAACACAAGTAATAAACTGTCTGATCAGAAAACTGCATGCGGCGATTGCGATCGTGCCAGGTAGCGCACAGCTGAGCTGAAAAAGAACTGATGACAGTCAGTCGTGAGCTGAAACAACGCCTTAAACGTAGGTGAAGGAAAGGAAGGAAAAGTGAATAGACAATGCTGGGAGCTATCGTGAATGCAGAAATTTTTAGACACTAGCAAATCCGGGTTAAAAAAGTAACTCTAAGTCCAGCTTGATGACCAATATCGTGGGCGGAAAACACATTTTTATGGGTACACGTAAGGAAAAATATGAAACACATCGTCACCCAACAAACGCATACTTGCATTGCAGGTTGCGAGATAAGCATGTACCGGCAGCCGGGAATCAGGAAGACACAACTTGCAACGTTGCGTGACACTATGCAGGACCGTAATAGGACAATAAATAAATAGTAGCGTGACGGCACATCGCTCGCAAGTTGCACAAAGCGCATGTAGGCTGGAGGTAAGCCGATGACACAAAATGACTGATTACGGATAGCCTCGGAAAACGAGTTCGTCAAAACTGGTGTGTAATTGATCGTCAAGAAAGTAGTAGAAGTGATCGCGAGCACAAACTCACGTATCGTAGTCCATAATGGTGTTCAAACGATGAGCGATTGTCAGAACCGTGCATCGAGAGAATTCACTCCGAATGGTTTCCTGAATAAGATTGTCTGTCACAGGATCAACCGCAGCGGTGGCTTCGTCTAGTACCAGTATCGGCGTGCGCCGAAGAAGCGCACGGGCCAGACACAGGAGCTGCTTTTGTCCCATGCTAAGAGAACAAGAAACGGCTAGATAAACGGCCACGTACCACAGAATAGACAGTTATATGAACAAGAGCACCAGTGATCTAGTTACATCGCGTTATAATCGATAACAGTTCCAGTCCGCGCAATGACAACATCAACATATGCTTACATATGGAAGTGCTGATGTTTTGCAATACCATGTCATCCAGTAGCAATTTTTAGCGTCCGGTGTACTTGGTACTGGCGATAAACATTTTAAAATTGAGTTCAATCGCTGAGATGAAAAGAGGACTTTACACCACTTAAAAAAGTCTATAAATCAAACCAAAAGGTAAGGAGTTAGACAGGAAGCTAGCATGTGCCCGTAAATCAGTAATGCAAGCAGGTTGTTTCGTACTACTGTGAAAAGGACGCATTCAGACAGGGTACGACGACCAGAAAATCATGAAACTCAAATTGTGGAGAGTAAGGTGGGAATGGCACATTAATCTAAATGAGCGCTTCCGTTCAAATTGATTGACTGACACGTCCGCCTCAAACGGTCAAGTTGAAGTAACTAACACAATAGACAGGGATCTTGTGAAATGTACAGGAACACAAGGACACTAAACCACTGAATATCTGGATTTACGGTTCCAAAAGGTACTCTCACCTGATGTTAGATCCCCCCTCCGTGATTAACATATTCAAACCCGAAGAGCAGCTCGTCTCCATGACATATTTTTTCAAATGGGCGAGTTCTAGTGCACTCCACAGTACCTCATCGGCATGTTCATTGAAGGGGTCTAAGTTGAATCGCAGTGAGCCGGAAAACAGCACAGGATCCTGTTTGTGCGAAACAAAGACGAAGAATAAATTGAGTGAATTGAAAAAATCGCGGTTACAACAGATTGGACGGAACAATGAATGAGAGTTGCTTGGTATGATGGAAAGACAGTGTAAACACCTCGGATGGGGTGATCTGCCAGATCCAAAACAAGGGAGCACTTCAGTGAAAGAGAAGAGCGCGCATCCTATACGCATTTGCGCAGTGTTAATGTAATCCACTCGTTACCCAAGAATAACAAGGCCATAGATAGGATTGAAAGACAAGATATCTAATGTTATCCTATAATCTAAGCTAAAGGAAGCAGTGCGCTTCCAATAGACCTAACTGTAGTCTACCGTCCCCAGCGCCAATGACGGCACTGAGGCAGAGTGAAGCTTACATGAAATGATGGGCATCTAAATGACGTTAACTTTAAATAATACACTCTGCAACCAGTTAGGAAGTTTAGTCAACAAAACTGGATACAGTCTATTTTATAAACAGAAAAGCAGCAGTTTATTAACAATAGTGAAAATATTAACGCTAAAGATTGTCCCGCTGCTGACTTTATCAGGTTCATACTGAGGACACCATTTGCGTAGTATTGCAGCGTTACTATTCCGACGCGCACTCGAATGACCGTACTTAGCGTCTGGTCAGGCGTCGGTTTGGTTAACGGGCGTCTCGTCGACGCTTTAGCCTTTGAAAACATGTTTCCTTCTGGGTTTAGCATGCAAGCGCAGAGCGACAGAAAGTTCACTTGATAAGACGAGCCCATGATCCTACTTAGATCCTGCGACATGTGGATTCTGGTATTGTGCATGGTCAGACAGGAACCGATCATCTACACTCTGTAGAGTATACGCACCATAAGCTCTTCGACGAACAATGAGAACTTTACACGATTACAGGTGAGTGATGGATGCCTTAGTTATTCACTGCCACTATTTGTATCACCTTACGGCCTCCGATGGCGTTCGTGTACGCCTCTCTTGAGAGGCCCGGCATTCATCGTAGACGCGGATTGGACGCACAGGACCATACACACACACACATTACACAAAGACGATAGGGGAGAGGGGACAACTGGGGCGCTACCTTTGATCGAGGTGAACGACACTCACGAACAAAAGGACTTACTCTATACCATTTTCCATTGAAGTTGGACATTCGGGCAAAACATTTACGCCTGGGGGTCAACGGAGTTGCTCCTCCGGGGCAATCAAGTTGAGTCTTCGCTATGCGGAATAGAACCACTCACTGGCATGGTAGGGGCTGTTTCATTGGCCAAGCGCCTGAGGTCCTATTTGTTGAAGGCGCTTGGCCAATGAAACAGCCCCTACCATGCCAGTGAGTGGTTCTATTCCGCATAGCGAAGACTCAACTTGATTGCCCCGGAGGAGCAACCCCGTTGACCCCCAGGCGTAAATGTTTTGCCCGAATGTCCAACTTCAATAGAAAATGGTATAGTGTGCACTGATTCCACCGTTTGGGCTGAAGTAGCCTGATTGCAATGCGGCATGAAAAATATCCAGTCGGCTTAATCTTTATAGGTTAATAACTTATATTTGTTCTGTTGAAAAACAAACTGTACCCGTTAGATTTGCTAAATGCCAAGTTTAAAGCGTGTATGGAGATGGACCGCCGAAGTCTTGTATCTGAGCGCAGAAAACTCGCTGAATGACCAGAGAAAGGTTAAAAGGCTTAGAATTCATACAAATGTGTGGTTATGCTACTGATATGTGGCCACACCATAATCCTGAATGCCTGCGGCAATAGAGTAGACAGAGGACAACTAGCTGCATGAATTCGTGATTGCATACCTTTAAACCTGCAGATTGAACCTAGTTTGGAAAACTCCCAAGTCTCATGGAAATAAAGAAATCCGGAATGGACAATACTACTGAGGCAGACAGAGATTATGTGATGGAAACAACTCTTGCACAGATAGACTGCATTCTGTCACCAGACCTGCGGTTCCACCGTATCAGTGCGTAAATAACACAAAACAACTTCGCAGTTATTGTTTATTTCAGTGAAGAACCCCAACTTTAAACATACATACCTTACCTAACCCTGTCTGGAGCTACATGTGATACCAAAAAAGCGGAAGTTTACAGCACATTCGCGCAAAGCCCGAGGGTCCAGAGTAAATGGCTTTACGTTTGTTAACATACTTCTCGGACCATCACCAAAACAGACAACTTCAGAGAGCGGTTCGATTAATGGGGTCAACCGCTACTCGTAAGATTAAGAAAACATCGATCGTTAGCCAATTGGACGCCTAATGATAAAAGGGTACTTGGCAGATAGTAAAAATCTGATGAATACAGGTCCGAGCTGATTGGAACCCGGCTTGCTCTCCGTGCACCGAGTGGAGCCTCCTCAAAAGCATGGCGGCGACCACTTTGGCTGCAGCGCTGATAAGACTGATCCCCAGGCGGATAGTACAATCTGATCGGTTGCTATTTTTGAAGACGGGGTAACATGTGCTATGCTCCAATTGGAAGGAATCGCTTCCGTGATTCACATTTTTTGGAGAAGTCAACTCAGAAGTGAAGGATGGGTCTCCATCTCTGAAATTTCTGCAATGAATTCGTTTGGTCAATAGGGTTCGTAAAGCTTAAGGAGGCGAATCACATAAGCAAACTCAGTCCCAGAAGGTGGTGAAATGTCCACATACCACGGCGTACTACGGATTTGTGAAGGAAAAATCGTTGGTACTGTTTTCCATTTAAACTGCTGTCCGAAATAATCAGCGAAGCGCATAAGTCGATGTCGACATTGGATCGGATTATCGTTAGATTTACACAAAACTGCTTTCACAGTCTCCTTTCTTCCACCAGTGGATCGAACCAAGAGAGTAATCTTAAGGAAATTACTCGAAGTGACTGCCTGCTTCAACTCGATGACATGCTGAACCCACCAGATCTCATGATTCTCCCAGGTGAGCTTCCTAAGTTCTGCGTCGGTAATCCTGCGCCACCGGGATAGTCCGATGAGCTTCAAGAAGCTGGAGAGACCATAAGGAGATCCAGTGTCTGACAGGGCCACTAGTGAAACCACAGATCGAGGTGGGAGAACTGTGCACGCTCAGAATGTGTGCCCAGTGTGTCTCAATGTCTAAAACATGAGGCACTCTTGAGGTTAGAGGCCAACGCATCTCGGAAGTTGTTGAGAACGTAGGAAGCTTAGTCACGTCAAGCCGTTTCCAGAAACGCTCTTGGGTGCCACCAAACGCGCACCGAGCTTAGCATACACGACCACGCGACCTGATTGTTTTGAAGTCCTTTATGCAGTCTCGTCAGCGTAGCTGATGGCGATGTGGTCAATGCATAACCATAGCGGACAAGCTGATGGAGGCTTCTAAGTGGCGCGTTGTCGCCAAGATCGGCGAAAGTTTGTGTCCCATAGAAATAGGCCCGGATCGGAGCAAAGCAAAAGTATACGATAGATATTACCTATCTCGATAGTATCTTGAATGTGTTGGCTGTCGAAATCAAATCTGCGCATTTAAGTTTCAGGTAGACCGCACGATGTACGCGTAGCATATTATTTTTAAAGAAGGTTGGTTAAGTGAGGATAGAAGTCAACGTTAACTGAATCAGGGATGCTGGCTCCGCGGCTGGACGGCTCCTAGTCGAACCACTTGGATTTGGGTGTTGAGAAGGATCCACGCGAGTGTTGCAAGATGGTGTGATTTCGTGCCATGTGGTCGGTTGAAATGCAGCAACACTCTACGGGATCACATGATGAAATCGTTAATTTGGACACAGAATGCCACATACGGGTGCAGGTTACAGTATGTTTGAGGTAAATGAAAAACCAGTGGGAGCATAAGTGAGGCAAATGAATGTTGCTGGATGCACGGCGTTGGACGAAGGCGTTTATTGACCTCAGTCTGGGTAAACTTAGGTAATCTCCCCCAGGAAGGCACTTCCGATCCTCAACCTGAGGGCGCGCACACGGAAGCATAAAGCTCCGCTGAACCAACCAGTGGTCGGAACAATAATCAAGTAACGCACGTAAATTGTCAAAGCTTAGTTAGATGACACTATAATACTCTCATGCTTTGTGGAGTCATGTAGAAATAAGAAAAGACCTAAAATTAGTGTTGGGTTAGGGATTGTTTTCGGATAAACTAATCCGATCCGAACGTTTCCATGATAGGGATACTGTGCTGGACGCGTAAAATCAGGCTTGGGACTGAGCTCTAAGTTGTTTGAGCAGCCAAACTGATAACAAGGCCGGAGTATAGAGGATCAAGCCATCAAAAAAATGAAAATTAGTACAGTATATATCAACAATCCAACGTAAATAGTTTAGGTAAAAACCAAACAGCTAAGTAAGTGTCTGGTGGCAACGGCAGTATAGTTGGCTGTAAGAAGCGCCTCCGCATACACAATTCCGGCTTTAGATAGTGGCGATGAACAGGGACTGCTTGCGGGAGCTTTAGGAGTAGCGTTGAGACAATGAGTAAATGACTCACCTATCGTGCAAAATAGGAGCTCGAGTACTGATAGACGAGCATTGAAGGAGTCAACGAGGACAGCCTGTTTTTCGGGGATCTGAAAGCAATGGCTTATCGTGGTAGACAGGCCGCGGAATACAACAGCACCTCTCAGGCTTCAGGATAGGATAACTGCAGCAGAATCGCCCTTACATTGTAGGTGTATGAAAGGCTCCTTCATAAGAGTAGTGCTCCTAGGTTGCTTTCGTTTGGCTTCCGTTAAATGTTTCATAATAAACTAGTTGGGGCAACTATCTTCCCTCAGAGCGTCGTTGATTCTCTGTAGTTCTTTGTTGACGGTACCCAGTGAGCAAATATTGCGATCGGATTAAACCCCAGGTACGCTGCAAAATCATTGTACTGTGGAAGTCAGTCCATGTTTGCTTCCTGTGCACCATTCCGCTGCAAGAATTGCGAATTACTTCCACATTCAGAAAACGTTACCGGTTTCTGTACTCATGTTCGCAGTTGAATCAGAGATGATCATGTGCGTCAGTAAAAGCTTCC